TTTTTGTAGAGACGGGGTCTTGCTCTTTCTCGGGCTGGTCTCAAACTCCTGGTCTCAAGCAATTCTTCTGCCTTGGTCTTCCAAAGTGCTAGGATTACAGGCATGAGCCACCACACCTGGCCTTCTATGCCTAATTTGTTCAGAGTTTTTATCGTGAATGGATGTTGAATTTTGTGAAATACTTTTTCTGCATCTATAGAGATGATCATATGGTTTTTGCCCAATCTGTTAAAGTGATGTATCAGTTTATTGATTTGTGTATATTGAACCATCCATGCATTCCCAGGGATACATCCCACTTGATCATGGTGAATGATCCTTTTAATGTGCTGTTGAATTTTGTTTGCTAGTATTTTGTTGTGGGTTTTTGCATCTATGTTCACCAGGGATATTGGCCTGTAAATTTCTCTTCTTATAATGTCCTGGAAGAATAGTCTTTAATATGTAAGTTAGAATATAAGACTCTTCAACTTAAAATGCTTATGACTTCCCTTTATGTTTAAACTCTTATATTTAAAACCCATGGCCTGTATAATCTGTTTTTGAGTACCTCTCAACTTTCTCTTATAATTATTCTCCTATCTCACTAAACTCTACGGCAACTGGTTTTCTATCGGGCATTTTGTGATATAAGCTTTCTCATGCCTTGATAAATCATGTTTTAAGAATTAAGATTAATTTATCTCTAAAAATTCCCTGAGGTAGCCTAAATGCCAAAAAACATTCTTATTCTACAAAGTAAGAAATGTGGTAGTTAGTAAAGTTTTCATTCAATCCCTTTAAGCACTTTGCTCTTAAATTATCCTTTGCCCCACAGCATTTGTAAGTTGGCCTACAGAAGGCTCACTATGAATTTTTGGGTAATTATCTCTTGCTTTTAACCTGAACCCAATTTTTTTTATTTCTGTTTTTTTTTCCTCTAGAAATACTTTCCCTAATTCCTCTCCCTCCTGTCTATTCACAGACTTAACACCACCTCCCCTTTTATTCTTAAACAGGAAGAAGAATTAGCCTGTGATTGTGCTCAGTTAGAAAAAGAGCATAGTCAAGTGCTAAGACTATA